AAACAGTGCCCCTTTGAAAAGCTCTACCCTGAACCTGCTAACCCATCTCCATCTGGTCCGTCCTTCTATTCACCAGGATCACTCTTTAGGTGGAGGATCATCCAGACACAACACAAAAAAAGGCAGGCTGAGGCTATCAAATAGCCAGAATGTTCTGCGATTCTCCCAGGAAGCTTTAGCAATCCAGCTGCCAAGCCACCGTCGAGTCTCCTTACCTCTGCTGTATTATCTAACATTTAGCTGCTATCAAATGCTAAAATGAGCAAAGGGACTGGCAGGAAATGCAATCTCTGCATGAGGCTACTTGCTAAAGCAATACAACTGCACGTAGCACAGGAAACATGCTGGTCATGTCTCAGTTGTCTCAAAACAAAACGCCAATTATTGTCTAAGAACATCTCGAAAAACAGAGAATGCCCGTTAGCTTAAACTCTAAGATTAAGGTCAGCCTCGCAACCAGAGTAGCAATGCAAGCATTGTATTGTAGGGCTACTAACAATACAAGTTGTTAGGCTGGTATATATGGCATCTACAAATTGGAGCTCATCAGTTAAAAGTCATCAGTGTGGCTTTAACATAAAAACTTGTGCAAGTCTTAAAGAAACAGAAACAACTAATGCAAGAGCTGAAGGCAGACGTAACCAGACTCAAGGTGCTGCTGTCTTCCAGACCCCAGTTAAAACATCACTAGAAAGCTCAGTTGTGGCGATACCACCCAGGCGGACAAACTAAAAATTCATATACAGCTACATCTGCCCCCGCACCGCTTGCCCACTCGGCATCTGAAGTGTGCTGTGGTTTGGGCAAAACCCTCCAGACCTCACTGCTGAAGAAACTTTGCCAGAAATCACAAAGACGGAGGCTGGCAAACAGCAAGAAGAGCTCACCTTTTGAGTTCTCCCCTGTTACCCCGGCAGCTGCAGCTCCACAGGCGGCGCTGACCATGCTGCTCATCTATTCCCCCAACACCTAAAGTCTGTACACGGTGACTTACGTGAGAGGCCCGTGGTGGTAGACGATGTCGGTGCTGAAGAGCTCACTATAGATGCAAACAGCCCCGTTGAACCCAGAATGGAGGTTGTGGTGGTAGCAGCAGTTGTAGCAGCTGTGGACGTAACTACAAATGGGAAAAGTGTCCATCTTTCACAAGCAGACCACATCAAGCTCTCGCCCGTTTCAGAACACCCATGCTGACAATGCGACACAGATTTGCCTAGCCCCACCAGTTTTTTTAAGGAGGTCAGAATTTTTTATTCTTTTTCCTCTTATTCTACCTCAACTAGATCTCTTCTCCCATGTACCCTTTAAACCGGTGGCTCCCTTCCACAACGCTCCAGCAACGAGTACACAGCCGAGTTTGGCACGTGAGACAATAATAAAAAAAAAAAAAAACAACAAGATACTGAGTTCAAGGGCTGTATGGACTGTCACAGATCACCGAGGCCATTGCAAATTCACAGTAACAAACACTTGTAGCCCATTTCCAGACTCCGGTTTAGAAAACTAATGCCAGAAAGACAGCCGACTCACAAAGTCATGAGTAATTACTTCCTAAAATCACTTCCTACCTCCAAGCTTGGTTCCAAAGGACAGAGCGGGTCCCTGGCTGGTACTAGTGGTCAGCGTTGCCACGGGTGCGCTAGTGGCTGCTGTTGAAGGCAATGACCCAAAGTTTAGACCTGCAACAAGTACCATAAGTAAAAGACAAACCTTTTACTACAGACACACTGGAGTTTCCGCTGATCGCTGCAATAGCCAAGTTAGAAGCAATACCAGTATAAGAAAATCATTAATATTTACTGTAACAAAAACTCTGCCTTATCCAGGAATTTAACACAGGCTAACAAGCTCATGCCCTAAAAAAGCTTCCCAGAATGATTCTGACACACATGAACGTCCCCCTCACCCCAGAGCTGATGACCTTCCCGACACCGAGGCCCGCACTGTCACCAACAAGCAAATCAAAAGCGGCACAGTGAACTTTTGCCAGACTCTGCAGGAGCAGGAAGGCTCCTGCCCTCACGGAGGTCAACAGTGGTTTGGCACCGCGGGCCAGGAACATCCTCCAGCCTCCCCATCACTCCAAGACCTTTCCCTCTACACCAGCAAGACCATCAGAAACATTCACAAAGAGCTGCAAATGCAGCTGGCACTTCTACACGCACTGGCAACATTTTTTCAGCCTCACCCTCCAAAGCCAGAGGCTGAACAGCAATTGTTCCTCGTCACCAAAGACCCTGGACAGGCCTGTGACAAAACCCACGGATTCCAGCCGCTTGCTTCACTTCACACCAGCAGAAGCAGGCGGCTACAGAGCCTCCACGCCACCCGCAGCTGCCCTCCGTGCCGACACGCTTCCTGCCTGCCGCTGCCATTTCCAGCCCAGGCACCCACCTGCTGACTGCCCCCCGAGGCTGAAGGGGGTGGCCGACTGGGTCGCAGTTCCCACGGTGGCAGCAGTGGTGGCAGCAGCTGCAGGTGCCGTTCCAAAGGTCAACCCCGTGGGCGCTGCTTGCGGAGCTGCGGTGCCGACGCTGAAGCTGGCTGTGCCGGCCTGAGTTGTGGTAGCGCTGGAAAAGGTAAACCCTCCAGTGGTCCCAGACTGAGAGGTGGTGGTGGCGCTGGTGCCAGCAGATCCAAACACAAAGCCAGAAGGGGCTGCTGCTTGACTTGAGGGCACGCTGGCTGGTACAGAGCTACCAAACCCAAAGCCTCCCGTGATTCCAGTAGCTTGAGTTGCAGTACTGCCTCCAAAGTTTACTTTTGGTGCATTTGCCCTAGAGAAGAAGAGGAGAAGCCAAGCTGCTTGAGACACACAGCCAGTCACGTACTGAGTCGGCTTTCCTACAGACCATTTGCTGACAGCAGAAACCACCTTTCAGTCAGGTGCACAGTCAACCAGGTTCAGGCTTCAACTTTGACAGAGGCTGCATTGCAACGCCTGTGACCTGCAGCCCTCTGTTAACCCTCTTTATACTGACTCCCCCTCAGTTACCTCTACCTGTCGGAGCACCAAAGACATTTAGGGCGCTGTGAGTGAAGCTGCTCGTTCTTTTAGCTCCTAAGCACCCTTTTCTCTTCCTCTACAAAACTCTTTTTTTTTTTTTTTTCCAGCTGAATTTTACTGCTAGTCCCCATTCAAGCTCCCCCCCACTGCTCCCACATGGCAAGCTTTGACAACAGAGGTTCTGAAGAACCGCCTCCAAGCTTACAGCTTTTGCTAAGGACAAAACACTCCCACGAGCTGAAGAAACATCCCGAGCGCTCTGGAGTCGGATCACGAAGGACAAGACGTTTTATGCTCTGGTGCCAAGTTCTAGCTCTTCTTCATGCAGGCACCCGCACCCCAACCGCAGGCTGAGGCGGGGAACAGCTCGTTCTCAACACCCGTCTGAAACAGCCAGCACGGACGAGTAACGGGCCTCGCTCAGCGCTCTTCCGAACGCGCTGCGGCACCGCGGGCATTCTAAGGCGCAAGAGCCACGCGTTTGCTCCCCCGAGAATTGCTTGCAAAGCATCTCCGCGGCGACGGGGAGGACCCCACCCACTCACAGCGCCCAGCGGCCTCGGCCGCACAGCAAAGCCCGCGCCCCCACCCGGGACCAGCCGACCCCCGCGCCGCTCACCCCAGCGGGAACACGTTTGCTGCCGGAGCCGCCGCCGCCGCCGGCGTCCCGAAGCTGAAGCTGGCGGGCTGCGCCGCGGCGCCCGGCCTGCTGAAGGAGAAGAGCCCGGCGGGCTGGCTGCTGGCTGGCGTCTGGGCCGCGCTCCCGAAGCTGAAGCCGCCCGAGGCGGCGGGCGTGGAGAAGGAGAAAACGGTCGTGGCCGTCGTGGCGGCCGTCTTCGGCGTGCCCAGAGTGAAGCCGCCTCCCGCCGCGCCCGACCCGAAGTTGAACTGGTTCATGGCGGCACCGGCAGGAGACCCGGGCCCGGGCCCGGGGACGGCGGCCGCGGCCCAGCTCCCGCCACCGACCGCCCGACGGGCCGCCCTGCGCCGCTGCTGGCGCGGGGAGATGACGCTCAGCCCCTCGCCCCGCCCCTCGCCCCGCCGCGGCTTGCCGCCCTCAGCACCTATTGGCTCGTCTTGCCGCCGCTCGAGGGCGGCCCGTTCGGATTGGCCCGCGGGGCTACAAGGGGCGAGGGGCGGTAGCGGCGCCCCGTTGCTATGGTGACGTAGGACGCCGCCTGCCGCGGCGGCTGTAACATGTAGCTGCGAGAGCTTCAGGTACTTCATTCAGAGTTCTCCCTAATTTTCCCTGAAGTGTGCCAGAGACGAAGGCGATTACAACTAAATACTTCTTGTGAAGGGAAAAAAGTTGCTGCTCAAATTCTGAGTAAAGACGCTAACTTCCAAGTGATAGTCAACAAGGAGAGGTGCAATGCTGGACCTTGTTCTCAACAAGAAGCTGGTGGCAATGTGAAGCTCAAGGGCAGCCTTGGCTGCCGTGACCAAGACATGGTGGAGTTCAAGATCCTTAGGGCATTTGACACTGTCCCACACAACATCCTTGCGTCTAAATTGGAGACGTGGACTTGATGGATGGACCACTCCGGGCATAAGGAATTGGCTGGTTGGTCACACTCAAAGAGTTACAGTGACTAGCTTGACATACAAGTGGAAACCAGCGACAGGAGCATTCCTCAGGGGTCGGTGATGGGACTTGGTGCTAAGATATCTTTCCTCACCCTAGACAGTGGGATTGAGTGTACCCTCAGCATGTTTGTCAAAATGCCATGGAAACTAATACTCTAAAAGCACATCTGACTAAGTCTTTGTAACAGTTTATGATATTGAATCAAGAAAAATGGCCCAGAAGAAAAACAGGTGGCTAGAGAGATGCATCCAGAGCTATCTGACAGATTTCTCATTGACACACTTGATCAAAAAGCCCTGTCTCTTAAAAAGTCTTCACAGCAAGCTTGTCAACCCTGTTCTTTCCTGCACCCTTGCAACTGAACAAGCTACACTACAGAAAATCACCACACAAGTACCACTTCTCTACTGGCACATCCAGTAATTTTTAATCACGTAGAAATTCTGCTTACAGGTACCAGCACAAAAGTGATATATTGCCAAAAGTACAGAAAACAAGGCCCACTTTCAGAAGTGGAAGCATACCTAATTTAAACACAAACTCCAGCTAACAAAACGAGGAATTCGAGTCTCTCAGACTGCTGCAGCTCCTTCTGAGGCCAGTTCTTCGTTGAACCATCTCTCTACGGACCTGAACAAAGGGCTTACGAAGTCCCAACTGAACCATACTCAAGTTATATTCAGGTACTGGAGAGCTCAGCCGTGGAGTCACATACTGCCTAAATCCCGCGAGGGCAGCGTTTGTGCACCTCACCAGTCTACATGCAGTTATAAAGAACAAAGAGCACATGCTTTCTGCACAGACTTCATGCAGTCTCTCAGACTGGAGTGGGTAATTTCAGTCAGGCACTGCAAAGACTGGCTTTGCAACAAACAACAAGTTTTACTGCAAGAAAAAAAAAAAAAAAAAAAAAAACCAAAAACACAGGCCATAAATTGAGACCCAGGTCCCCCAAACCCTCTGCTTTCTGTTGAGATTTCAGGTTAACCCTTTAAACTTTGCGTCGTTCAATCAAATGTGATCCGAAAACTGCGCTCTTGCTCCTTGCGGCGGCTCTCGCAAACCTTTGTCACCTCTTCTACCTTTCTCTGCAACATAGCTGTGGGAGAAACAAGTGGTTAATCTTATATTCACCCTCAGACACAACCCTGCACGCTTTAGCCTGCAGGAGGAGAAAAACTCATTTTGACAGTCACTCAGATTTGACAGTGCACAAAGGAGGAGGAAAACCCTACACAAAGCACTGCTAACCCTCCACGGCAAGGAAGACTGCCTAAGAAGTATTCAGAGGCATTCAGGGACCGGCAGGCAGAACCGGAGGAGCCCTGGGACGTGTTGTTGACACTGTTTGCCATGCCAGTTCGCTGTACTTTCAGGGCACTGCATCAGGGAGTAGCACAAACCCTCCCTGAACTGAAAACTGCACGCTACTCTGCAGCTTGAGGAAAAGCAATTGCTCTGTAAACCAGCTTCCCCTACCCACCTCCTGCTAAACTCACATTGCATTATACCAATTACAGGTGGACCACACAATCTGTTAGAAATTCATGCATATTTTCTTGCAGGATAGCACGCAGCTATAACAAGCTTTTAACTGTAAATACAGAAAAGACAGTGCGATTGCACAGAAGAGCTGCAGAGCACTTGCAGCCATGACACAAATCACCTGCTATTTGCAGATCACCGATTTGGAAATACACCGGCCACTGATTGACCATCAACTTTAAATGCAGCAGGAATCTCGAGAAAAAAAGCCCCATTAAATTCTGACCTAAGCCAATAATAGTATTGAAACATGGATAGTAGTAATGCCTGCTTGCACCCAAGAAATACACCAGGTGTGGGTGCTTTCACAGCCAGACAGTGCAATTTGGTGCTGGTAAGAGGAGGACTGCTTTAGTCTGCCGTGCCCCCATGTGGCTGCTAACATCAGTTAAAATCAAAACCGTGTAGAATCCTTGAATCCCTCACAAGGAGGCCCTCCCTGGGACAAAAGTTCCTTTTTTCTGTGTTTTTGGTATTGCACCATGGTACACTAGTTACAGGTGAATCCAAAACAAGAAACAACAGTTACTACACTGTTCAAGATTCCACAAGCGAGTGCATCTTCTGCTCTGCACTACACCTCAAGTTCCTGCTACTGTGAAATTCCCACACCATTACTGAGAGTTAGCGAGCCTGCCGATAAATGCAGGCTGCTCACTCTTACCTGGATTTGGCTTTCCAGTTGCAAAGAGGAAGACGATAACGTTAAATACACACACACAGAGCCCCACCCCACCATTTTTCCTACTCCAAAGGGGAAGCCCCACAACATTTTCAAAGTTGAAATCTTTAACCTTAGCTTGACAGAACAAAGCATAAGGTTTTCACTTTGCACTGATGCATTTCAAAGCAGTGCTTTTTGGTAAAACATTACCAGTTGCCAGGAGATACTTCTCAGCATTAGAGAGGCCTTTAGTGCACATCAGGAGAATTCAAGCACAGAAGGGACAGTGTCATTGAAGGTGATGAGGAGAAGACTCCTCAGGGATCTTCAGGAATTCATTTGTGTTCTTTTACGTTCCCAAAAAGCTGCAAGATGCCTCTCACCTGAGTTCTGGTCAATCCACTGCAAGGAGTCCATGTGCGCATTCAAAATTTTACAGATCTGCTGAAGCTGAGCAGAAAGAGAAGGTGCAAGTCATTTGCTGCACTACAGAAACTCCAAGAGCAGTAAAAGACAGCCTGCCTGTCCCTGCCTTTGGAACCAGATGCAATCAAGTTTCTCATAGGTACAGCTCCACTAACCTAGCAGCCACTTTCCCAGGGAAGTCTGGGCAGCAACTGTGTTGCTTTGCTTCTCTTCACAAGCGAGAAAACAGACTGGTTAAGAGTATATGCCGGTGGCTTAGGCTTATTCCAGTGCAGACCTAGGAACCACCACAACATTAATCACCTTAGGCCTGAGGTGGTAACGGTAAGAAGTAATGGGAAAAATCTCAAGTCTGCAATATGAAGGGAAATCTTTACTGGAAAAAAGCTTCTCAGTAAAGCCTCTGGGTGTATCAAGATCAATTTAATACACATCAGAAAGACTGTTTTCATGGGGATCCAAAAGTTATACAAGAAAAACGAGTCATCTCCTACGGAGGTCATTCTGAACAAAATTTGGATTTGCTGCAAGAAAGATGCAAGCAGTAGAGCATGTGGCCAGATCAAAGTTAAAAATGCCTCGGAAACAAGTTGTAATCTAGGCAGAAATCAGACAATAAGCAAATACCCAGAGTCCATATGAGAATGAGATACTTGGAAAACTATTAAGAACTATAGAGTAAGAACATGAATCAGGTTGGGTTTTACTGCATTATAACGCAATTTGAAGCAGAAGAGAGACAATCCAAGAAGAAAACAAAACGCCATATCAAGTTTGAAACCACAAGCAGCAGAGTATCCATGAGTGGACAAAGAGTTAAAAGTGTTAAAAAAGCATCTGTGTGACTACCAACATACAAAAAAAACCCCCTTTGATTTACCGGGTCACTCGTGTCTGCTGGGCCTCCTGATGCATTCAAGTGCTCAATGATGTCCTTCAGATCTTGTGCCATACGCTTCAACTGAGCATCTATGTTTTCAGCCAGTTTATAGCTGCACAACACATGGGAACCAAGGTCAGAATACTTGAAGTGAACATCAGAAGACCTGCTCCCAGTCACATCAGCTTTGGGCAGTCAGAATTAGCTTCCGCACCTTTCCACCAAGGCTGGCAGATGCGTGGGAAGAGCACCACAGGAGGCATTCTGTCGCACAGGTGAATTAATTCCTAACCTCTTTCTCTCTTGATGCATAGCACAGAGACAGACAAGCAGTAACAAAGAGGGCTTTCTGGAAGTGTTGTCAGAACTGAAGGAACCAGTTACTCCACGTTCTTCAAGATTCACATCTCTTAAACCAGACAAACACTTCCTTTAAGCATTCTGCTACCATTCAACACTTAAGGCTTACAAGATACCCGAGCCACACACAGTGCATTCTGCTCTCATTGCTTCTTTCACTAAATATTCACACAGTTTTAGAGATTATGCCAAAATTAGTAACCTTTTCCCAAACAGCTGATTAGACCTACATCCAAAGAGCTCTTCAGGCTCATTCAAGCCTTACTTGATGCAATTCCCCTGTTTCTAATGTTTAAAACTTAAGTTGACATGCAAAAAATAGGACTACATATTTGAAAAGGGCTGTTGATAGTTCAATCTTGTCATGCACTCCAACTCTACTTCCTGCTGATTGATCACCACCACCTTAGCCTGCTCATCACATGCTCAAATCACACTTCTGCCTTACGTCCTCTCCCGCTCTTCATCTGCATGCTGCAAGTAGATAGTCCCGCTCTGTTCCTTCACAGACTCCTCCAGAGGGGTCAGCAAGTCTTCAAGCTCTTTCTGCTGTGACAGAATGAAGTCTAGTTCCTGATCCAGTCTGAAAAGAGAAAATGTTAACTACCCCACTTAGAGGTTATGTACAGTCTACATCTGCCGTACCATAATGCAAGAAGATGCAAAAAGAAACAAAATTGTCTCAAGTATTCATAATTTCGTACCTCTTCTGATCAAGCTTCACTTTCTCTACTTCTCTGTGTAATGAAGTAATCTGGAGACAGAGGACAATTAATTACACTACAAAAACTCAAAAGTCAACTCCTGTATGAGCGGTGGAACTGAGAAAGCCAGCACGATACAAACGTCTACTGGAACCAACAGTTACATAAAGATTTACAGAACAACAATTGACTAACGGAGGTTTGGCTTTGAAAGCACCACCCTAAGAAAACTTTCGATCATAGTGAAAATCTGTCACAGAACAGACTTCCAAGCTTCAGTGCTACAGACCACAGGAGACATGCATTCAGTTTTCCAAAAGCAACCAGATATAATTCACAGCCCCTCCCCCCCCCCTTTTTTTTTTAAAGTAGAAAGTCCCACTAGATGGCTTGCTACATCTGGAACATTGAAGGCCTCTAAGGATCTAAGCATGCAAAATCGGGTTACACTCGATGTCACCTCACTTTCTCTCCATTCTCTATCAGCATCCGATCCCAGGCATTAACTTGTGTAGCTTGATGGAGAAAGTGTTTCTCTTGGTCTTCCAGTTCCAGACTCCACTTGTTTATCAAACTCTCCAGCTGGGCATAAGTCATCACTGGAGGCGCGCTGAGAGCAAGTGCGAGACAGTACAGAACACGAGATCAAAAACCAAGATGTAAACATGACAACACTATTTCCCCTTCCTCTACCAGACACCAGTGTGAATCCTGCCTCTTGCCCCGATCCAGAAAAAGTCAGTTATAGCAAAATACTCACCTGGTGGTGCTTGTGGTGGTTATGGCAGCTGTAGAAGTCCCAGCTCCAATGGCACCAGTCGTAGTTAATGGCTTAAGATTCAAAGCAAATCCAGAAGCAGAAGTAGTGCCTGAAAGAAGAGATGCAAGTCAAGAAACAAAGAGGACACGTCTGCTATCTCACAAATCAAGAACGGGGCCAATGTACACATCTAAGCACGGTGCTGCATGAGCTCAAATAGGTCCCTTAAAACGCAAATCCCACATCTGTCAGGAAGGGAACGAAGCACATCTTGACACAACAGCAGTGGACTATAAATGCCCGACTTGTAGCTCTGGCAAAAGGAAGAACTGTCAGCCTGCACTTAACCTGGGCATTAGATTTAGCCCACACTCCTCTTAGTTACTAGAGGTGATGTTAAAACAAGAGGAGACTATCAGCACACCCAGCTCCTCTTCTGCACCTTGGCAGAAGACGAGATGTCTCTGTTTCAAAAAGCTGAGAGCATCTATCAGATGGTACTGTCAGCCAGTCAAACGGCACTTGTAGGCACTGACCTCCAATTCTTCCGTCACTCCAGAAAAAGCTTTACAAAGACTTTGAGAGCTGAGCAACATCCCTGTTATTACACTGAAAACTGACCACTAACTCGATCCAGAAAAGGGTGTTCAGCCTTGAATCCCAATCCTGCAGCAGCAAATTCCACTACAGGTTTTCACATGCAAATTACCACTTCAACATAGAGCTCTGACTTCTGCCGACTTTTTCATTTTTTAAAGAAAACATCTCTCCCTCACCTCTTAGAGCACTTCTGCACCTACACAGGCAGGCTAGAGAAGGAGCAGCTAATCAAAGTCACTCTACTTGCTCCAGACTAAAACATCAAAGCCCACAGGCGTTCCTGCACGCAGAGCTCCTTTCCTGTGGACAGGCTCTCAAAAGTCAGGAGTAACTCTGCATTTGGGGAGATGGAAAGGGAGAATCACAGAGAGAAATACTGTGTTATTTCACAGCATCTCGTTCTTACCAGTGGCAGTGCTTGTTGCCGCAGCTGTCGTTCCAGGAATTTTTAATCCAAACCCAAGTGTTCCAAGACTGCCTGTCCCAGTGGAAGGGGCACCAACTGTAAACAGAAGACAACGCTTCAGAGTTTGCATAACCCCTTAAAAACAGTGCCCCTTTGAAAAGCTCTACCCTGAACCTGCTAACCCATCTCCATCTGGTCCGTCCTTCTATTCACCAGGATCACTCTTTAGGTGGAGGATCATCCAGACACAACACAAAAAAAGGCAGGCTGAGGCTATCAAATAGCCAGAATGTTCTGCGATTCTCCCAGGAAGCTTTAGCAATCCAGCTGCCAAGCCACCGTCGAGTCTCCTTACCTCTGCTGTATTATCTAACATTTAGCTGCTATCAAATGCTAAAATGAGCAAAAGGACTGGCAGGAAATGCAATCTCTGCATGAGGCTACTTGCTAAAGCAATACAACTGCACGTAGCACAGGAAACATGCTGGTCACGTCTCAGTTGTCTCAAAACAAAACGCCAATTATTGTCTAAGAACATCTCGAAAAACAGAGAATGCCCGTTAGCTTAAACGCTAAGATTAAGGTCATCCTCGCAACCAGAGTAGCAATGCAAGCATTGTATTGTAGGGCTACTAACAATACAAGTTGTTAGGCTGGTATATATGGCATCTACAAATTGGAGCTCATCAGTTAAAAGTCATCAGTGTGGCTTTAACATAAAAACTTGTGCAAGTCTTAAAGAAACAGAAACAACTAATGCAAGAGCTGAAGGCAGACGTAACCGGACTCAAGGTGCTGCTGTCTTCCAGACCCCAGTTAAAACATCACTAGAAAGCTCAGTTGTGGCGATACCACCCAGGCGGACAAACTAAAAATTCATATACAGCTACATCTGCCCCGCACCGCTTGCCCACTCGGCATCTGAAGTGTGCTGTGGTTTGGGCAAAACCCTCCAGACCTCACTGCTGAAGAAACTTTGCCAGAAATCACAAAGACGGAGGCTGGCAAACAGCAAGAAGAGCTCACCTTTTGAGTTCTCCCCTGTTACCCCGGCAGCTGCAGCTCCACAGGCGGCGCTGACCATGCTGCTCATCTATTCCCCCAACACCTAAAGTCTGTACACGGTGACTTACGTGAGAGGCCCGTGGTGGTAGACGATGTCGGTGCTGAAGAGCTCACTATAGATGCAAACAGCCCCGTTGAACCCAGAATGGAGGTTGTGGTGGTAGCAGCAGTTGTAGCAGCCGTGGACGTAACTACAAATGGGAAAAGTGTCCATCTTTCACAAGCAGACCACATCAAGCTCTCGCCCATTTCAGAACACCCATGCTGACAATGCGACACAGATTTGCCTAGCCCCACCAGTTTTTTTAAGGAGGTCAGAATTTTTTATTCTTTTTCCTCTTATTCTACCTCAACTAGATCTCTTCTCCCATGTACCCTTTAAACCGGTGGCTCCCTTCTACAACGCTCCAGCAACGAGTACACAGCCGAGTTTGGCACGTGAGACAATAATAAAAAAAAAAAAACAACAAGATACTGAGTTCAAGGGCTGTATGGACTGTCACAGATCACCGAGGCCATTGCAAATTCACAGTAACAAACACTTGTAGCCCATTTCCAGACTCCGGTTTAGAAAACTAATGCCAGAAAGACAGCCGACTCACAAAGTCATGAGTAATTACTTCCTAAAATCACTTCCTACCTCCAAGCTTGGTTCCAAAGGACAGAGCGGGTCCCTGGCTGGTACTAGTGGTCAGCGTTGCCACGGGTGCGCTAGTGGCTGCTGTTGAAGGCAATGACCCAAAGTTTAGACCTGCAACAAGTACCATAAGTAAAAGACAAACCTTTTACTACAGACACACTGGAGTTTCCGCTGATCGCTGCAATAGCCAAGTTAGAAGCAATACCAGTATAAGAAAATCATTAATATTTACTGTAACAAAAACTCTGCCTTATCCAGGAATTTAACACGGGCTAACAAGCTCATGCCCTAAAAAAGCTTCCCAGAATGATTCTGACACACATGAACGTCCCCCTCACCCCAGAGCTGATGACCTTCCCGACACCGAGGCCCGCACTGTCACCAACAAGCAAATCAAAAGCGGCACAGTGAACTTTTGCCAGACTCTGCAGGAGCAGGAAGGCTCCTGCCCTCACGGAGGTCAACAGTGGTTTGGCACCACGGGCCAGGAACATCCTCCAGCCTCCCCATCACTCCAAGACCTTTCCCTCTGCACCAGCAAGACCATCAAAAACATTCACAAAGAGCTGCAAATGCAGCTGGCACTTCTACACGCACTGGCAACATTTTTGCAGCCTCACCCTCCAAAGCCAGAGGCTGAACAGCAATTGTTCCTCGTCACCAAAGACCCTGGACAGGCATGTGACAAAACCCACGGATTCCAGCCGCTTGCTTCACTTCACACCAGCAGAAGCAGGCGGCTACAGAGCCTCCACGCCACCCGCAGCTGCCCTCCGTGCCGACACGCTTCCTGCCTGCCGCTGCCATTTCCAGCCCAGGCACCCACCTGCTGACTGCCCCCCGAGGCTGAAGGGGGTGGCCGACTGGGTCGCAGTTCCCACGGTGGCAGCAGTGGTGGCGGCAGCTGCAGGTGCCGTTCCAAAGGTCAACCCCGTGGGCGCTGCTTGCGGAGCTGCGGTGCCGACGCTGAAGCTGGCTGTGCCGGCCTGAGTTGTGGTAGCGCTGGAAAAGGTAAACCCTCCAGTGGTCCCAGACTGAGAGGTGGTGGTGGCGCTGGTGCCAGCAGATCCAAACACAAAGCCAGAAGGGGCTGCTGCTTGACTTGAGGGTACGCTGGCTGGTACAGAGCTACCAAACCCAAAGCCTCCCGTGATTCCAGTAGCTTGAGTTGCAGTACTGCCTCCAAAGTTTACTTTTGGTGCATTTGCCCTAGAGAAGAAGAGGAGAAGCCAAGCTGCTTGAGACACACAGCCAGTCACGTACTGAGTCGGCTTTCCTACAGACCATTTGCTGACAGCAGAAACCACCTTTCAGTCAGGTGCACAGTCAACCAGGTTCAGGCTTCAACTTTGACAGAGGCTGCATTGCAACGCCTGTGACCTGCAGCCCTCTGTTAACCCTCTTTATACTGACTCCCCCTCAGTTACCTCTACCTGTCGGAGCACCAAAGACATTTAGGGCGCTGTAAGTGAAGCTGCTCGTTCTTTTAGCTCCTAAGCACCCTTTTCTCTTCCTCTACAAAACTCTTTTTTTTTTTTTTTTCTCCAGCTGAATTTTACTGCTAGTCCCCATTCAAGCTCCCCCCCACTGCTCCCACATGGCAAGCTTTGACAACAGAGGTTCTGAAGAACCGCCTCCAAGCTTACAGCTTTTGCTAAGGACAAAACACTCCCACGAGCTGAAGAAACATCCCGAGCGCTCTGGAGTCGGATCACGAAGGACAAGACGTTTTATGCTCTGGTGCCAAGTTCTAGCTCTTCTTCATGCAAGCACCCGCACCCCAACCGCAGGCTGAGGCGGGGAACAGCTCGTTCTCAACACCCGTCTGAAACAGCCAGCACGGACGAGTAACGGGCCTCGCTCAGCGCTCTTCCGAACGCGCTGCGGCACCGCGGGCATTCTAAGGCGCAAGAGCCACGCGTTTGCTCCCCCGAGAATTGCTTGCAAAGCATCTCCGCGGCGACGGGGAGGACCCCACCCACTCACAGCGCCCAGCGGCCTCGGCCGCACAGCAAAGCCCGCGCCCCCACCCGGGACCAGCCGACCCCCGCGCCGCTCACCCCAGCGGGAACACGTTTGCTGCCGGAGCCGCCGCCGCCGCCGGCGTCCCGAAGCTGAAGCTGGCGGGCTGCGCCGCGGCGCCCGGCCTGCTGAAGGAGAAGAGCCCGGCGGGCTGGCTGCTGGCTGGCGTCTGGGCCGCGCTCCCGAAGCTGAAGCCGCCCGAGGCGGCGGGCGTGGAGAAGGAGAAAACGGTCGTGGCCGTCGTGGCGGCCGTCTTCGGCGTGCCCAGAGTGAAGCCGCCTCCCGCCGCGCCCGACCCGAAGTTGAACTGGTTCATGGCGGCACCGGCAGGAGGCCCGGGCCCGGGCCCGGGGACGGCGGCCGCGGCCCAGCTCCCGCCACCGACCGCCCGACGGGCCGCCCTGCGCCGCTGCTCGCGCGGGGAGATGACGCTCAGCCCCTCGCCCCGCCCCTCGCCCCGCCGCGGCTTGCCGCCCTCAGCACCTATTGGCTCGTCTTGCCGCCGCTCGAGGGCGGCCCGTTCGGATTGGCCCGCGGGGCTACAAGGGGCGAGGGGCGGTAGCGGCGCCCCGTTGCTATGGTGACGTAGGACGCCGCCGGCGGCGGCTGCACCGGCCCTTTCTGCCGTTAGGACCCCGGCGCTGGGCTGGGCCGCGCCGCGACTCTGTCGCCCGTGGGAGAGTGGGCTGCCCCGTGCCGCCGGCAGCCGCTGTGCAGCCGGGCAGCGGGACCGTGCCGTGCTGAGGGCAGGCGTCCCTAACGCTGGCCCGCAGCCTGCTCCTCGAGCTGCCGCTCCCCTGAGCCTTCCTGGAGCAAGTTGGGAACCTGGAGCAACTCCGGCGGTGGAGCAGGCAGGGAACCTGCTGCAGACCTCCGCCCGGCCCCTCGGAGCTGACCTGAGCCGAGACCTCCTGCTGCCCTCGCCCGGCTGCAGTAGCCGCAAATCCACGCTGAGGTGGGGGCTTCCATCGCTAATTAGCACTGCAAGGCTTGAGCTGTGATCGCAGCTGCTGACCGTGAAGCAAAAGAGTCTGTAATCTGAGCACAGAGAGGAAAGCTTGATTACGTTCCGTTCCATCTGTTTTGACATCACGCACGGAAGAGTTTAGCCAAACTTTACCCTTTCAGAACACACAGCAGGAGAACTGTGCTTTACAGACAGGGAACACACTTTGTTCTTTCTTCTTCTGTCACTTTTTTCTCCTGCGTAGGTGAGCAGTGGGTATTGAGATGGACAGTGTTTCCTCAGGCTCTTCTCTGCAGTTACTTGCCCAGCTACTTCGTGACACTCAAGATGATGATGACGATGAACGTGTGGTGAGTCTTTTGTAAGAAATGCTGCTTCTTCCGCTTGTTGTACCATAGCCTGACCTTGTTAACTGAGAAGCAAATCTCTTTTTCTGCAGAGTGAGTAAAAAGAGAGTGAAAACCTTAGAAGGTTTTGGACTGACTGAAACAGCTAGACGATACTTTTAGGGCAACACTCTCTTGAGGGACAGACTAAGCAAGATGCTCCAGGAAACAAGGAGAGATTGTGACGACAAAGTGGGAGGGAGATTTAATTTTTTCAGCCCGAAGAAAACAATAACATGTAGTTGCAAGACCTTTAGGTACTTCAGACTTCCCCTTACTTTTCCCTGAAGTCTGCCAGAGATGAAGGCAATTACAGCTAAATACTTCATATGAGGAGGAAAAAGTTGCTGCTCTACTTCTGAGTAAGGACTAAAATAGCCAGAGGCAACTGAGTGCACTAATTCTGTGTGTCAGGCACTGAAGAACTGTAGAGATAATTGATCACTAAAGTACAATATATATGTTGGTGATTGTAGAACAGGAAGGGTAAGTAATCATTCTAACGTAAATGATCCAAATGACTAATGAGAGAAGCATCTTTCCATTCATCTATATCATTTTATATATATATATAAAAATCAATTCTTCTATATCAAAATATCAGTAAATAATCCAGGAGGTTCCTGGAATGCATTGATGATAACTTCCTTCTCCAAGTGATAGAGGATTCAACGAGGAGAGGTGCTATGCTGGACCTTGTTCTCAACAAGGAGAAGCTGGTGAGGAATGTGAAGATCAAGGGCAGCCTTGGCTGCAGAGGCCAAGACATGGTGGAGTTCAAAATCCTTAGGGCAGCGAGGAGGTCGCACAGCAAGCTCACTGCCCTGGACTTCAGTCTTCAGAGAGCAGACTTTCACCCCTTCAGGGATCTGCTTGGCAGAATACCATGGGATAAATCCCTGGAGGGAAGAGGGGCCCAAGACAGCTGGTTAATATTCAAGGATCACCACCCCCATGCTTGGGAGGGATGCATCCCAACAAAGAGGAAGTTGGGAAAAAATGCCAGAAAGCCTGCATGGATGAACAAGAGGTTCCTGGACAAAATCAAACACAAAAAGGAAGCCTACAGAGGATGGAAGTAAGGACAGATAGACTGGGAGGAATACAGATAAATTGTACAAACAGCCAGGGGTCAGGTTGAGAAAGCTAAAGACCTAATAGAATTAAATCTGACCAGTGATGTCAAGGTTAACAAGAAAAGCTTCTATATGTTAGTCAGTAATAAAAGAAAGACTAGGGAAAATGTGAGCCCTCTCTGGAAGGAAACGAGATCTTGATACCTGGGACATGGAGAAGGCTGAGGTCAGGCATTTCTCAGGCATGGTTGTAGGTCCCGTTGTAGGTCAGGCATGATTTCCCCTTAGAGAAGTCGTGTTGGCTGTCACCAATTACCTCCTTATTTTCCCTGTGTCCAGCTCTGGGGCCCCCAACATAAGAAGGACATAGATCTGTTGGAGTGGGTCCAGAGGAGGCCACGAGAACGATCAGGGGACAGGAACACCTCCCTTATGAGGACAGGCTGAGGGAGTTGGGATTGTTCAGCCTGGAGAAGAGAAGGCTCTGGGGAGACCTTATCGCAGCCTTCAAGTACTTAAAGTGGGCTACAGGAAAGATGGGGAGGGACTCTTTATCAGCCAAGTCTCTGACGATTTTGAACAAGTCATGCTGTGACATGGATAACAAGGAGGGCCACAGGTGCCAACAATCACAACGTAGAAGGCCCCTGTAAAGGCTCAAAATTTTGTCATGTCTCTTAGGATTTTGAACAAGTCATGTTATGACACCATTAACAAATGGCAGATGCCTTAGTTTTCATCCAAATCATTCAACAAAGAGCCAGCTGGCTGACAGCACCAGTTGTGCACTCGTAGTGGCAATGGTAGTAATATTTGGGATAAAAGGGGTGCATATCCTTTGAAATTTTCTTTCAGTAGGTGGTAGATGTGGTCCTTTAACTACCCTTTAGTTGTTTAATGTCTGTGTTTTAAAACTAGAATTATTGCTGTATATCTTTGCAGTAAACACCCTGATTTTAAAATAATTTGTTTACATCTTATTAATAAAATGAATGACACTTCAGAGACAGAAATGGAAAATTGCGATAAGGGATTTCAATTAAGTCTGAGTCAATCTGGGTAAATTGAAATCTTTATTTTGATTTAATTTAATGTTCTGTGCATATGAGGCACTTTTATAGAACCAAGGAATCTTCATATATAGAGAAATGTCTCACATTGGCCTATTAGCACTAGATTGATTCATAATTAGAGGAAAATGTTGTTCCCTCATCTCTACTGTCAAAAGGAATCCAAATGCTGTGATCAGGTTTTCATATAGCACCCTTGATTTCCTGCAATATTTCCATGGCAGGCAAAGCATAGAAATTTTGCCAAAATGCCATGGAAACTAATACTCAAAAGGCACATCTGTCTGTAATCTGCTTCATGGAGTCCTGCTTAAATCCAGTGTGTCAAGGTCACTTTCTGCTGGGTCAGAGTGAAGAAGTGAGAATTTTTGGTGGTTTGGTCATGAAATTGTAAGATAATATTTTTTGGATTCTAGCAGGGATTTGTCTGACCTCAGACAACATTTTGTATTTATTGACATTATCATAGTTACTGAGCTGAGCTCTATGAAAATTGATTGAAGTTCTATTTCGATTTTTTGCAGCCACACTGTTCTGCTACCACCATGACTCCGGGTAGTATTGGACCAGTAAAGAAAGAGACCACTGGTAAGGAGGAGTGTTTGTATGTTTTAGCATTCAGTCCCATGTTAGCAGACAATAACAACTGTAGTAAGTTACCACTGATGGAGTTTGCTTCATTAAGAGAGTGGTCTCTGGCCTTTGAGATGGAAATAGCATTACACTTTTACAATTACACTGTAAAGCTCTTCTTTTCTTGAAAGCTTAACTGCAAATTATGCAAAGAGAAGCATAAAAGGTAACTCCAGAGCACAGCAGCCTCCAGTGGCAATGCTAAACAGAGTACAGCCCAGTCATGCGCTGAGGGGAATCTTAACTGAGCAGCAAAAAGCTCCATATAAGTACTCTCATGGAATTCTTAATGCTCACTGTGTACAAACAAGGAAGATGGTCGTCTAAGTATTGCCCTGAAAGGATCTTCATGGAGTAAACTGTGTAGAACTGAGCCTATGCCTATGAGGAAGAAGCACTATAAAGTAGACCATGAAACAGTCATACCTTATTCCCCTCAAAAGTTTCACAACTCTATTTAGACCATACATAGGGAGAAATAGAAGCTTTGTTCAGTGCTGCCCTCAACAGATCGAGAGACATTTTTCAGTTATTTTCCTTCCTGCACCTAATTCTTTGCCTGGAAACCCCAGGCAATTACAGGCTTTACCTGACTCCAGGTGTTCTGGCATCATATAGAAAGCAGACTCTCAGACAATGAGAACAAATATCTTGAGGGTTCCTAAAATTGTGTCAACACCTTGAATTGTACTCAGGAAAGAAATGACAAGTTTAGTCTTGGCAAAGTTAACATAAAGTTCCTCCTGGAGCTAATGCTGTTATATTATTGGGCAGCTTGGTTATGAGCCACAGGAAGGGTCAACAAGGACCAAGATGAGTGTAGCAGGGAAGGAACTGTGGCAAATGTGACAAATATTTTTGTTACATATTTTTGCTTGGGATTCCAATAATAACCAGAAATTCTACTATAAAAACCTTCAAGTTGCAGACTTACCAGCTTACTAGAAAATATAATTTTTGATGTAGGTCAGGCATAGACCATAGCATTCTGCCCGTGAACTTTCATGTGTCTTCAGTACCCTATCTGGGCTGTTGTCAATAATTAATAGGAAGAACTGGATTTCTATGTGAGGACAAGGTCCTTTTGTAAATGAGCAGAGTGCTCACTTGAAAATCTCATGTCAGGAGACTTGGGGAAGATTAATATTTCATATTTCTACACTATACCCATTTTGAAGTGCCAGATATTTTATGCCTGAAAGGAGGACTTCCTTGACATAGAGCTTGGGTAAAGGGGTTTTAAGGGAAAGGAGAACATCCTCTCTCTGCAAATTCTCATTCATGAGATACTGAGGTGAAGGAGACTGTAATTATTAACTGGAATGGGTTTAATACAAAGATTTTTCTAAAGTCTAGGGAAAAAAAAAAAAAAAACAAAACAAAAACAAAAATCTAAGTTTTCAGCAAACCTAGAGGAACAGAGACATTCCAAAATATGACAGTATGATTTTTCTTATGTCTTACAGGTACTTTTCAGGTGAAATCTGAAAACAGGAAAACTATTTGGAATACAGAGGAAATCCCAGAAGGATCTGAATTTGATGATACCTGGGACCCTAGAGAACAGCCAGAGTAAGCGAGTTGAAACTGCCTGCATGGGTTTTACATGACATTAATGGAAATATGAGTTAAACAGTATCTACTGTACTGGAGTGAAACAGCCATCTGAAAAGCTTGTGTCATGGAAGGAGAAAGGAAGGGTATCAGTGTTGGATCTAAAGCAACATGTGAGGAATGGTTTTAACCTCTCCCTTGGAAACCTTCTGATCCCATAAGAGAAACGTCAAGTTGTTTTTTCTCATCATAAAATTACTTGCAGTGTCAGACAGTTGTATAAAGTGGGATTAGGAGGGGAAGTAGGCCAGCAAAACAATTTACTAGCTTTCAGAGATGCCATTTGTGTGAAATACCTGTCTTTTCCCACTGCAGCTGAGATGCATTCATTTTTCATATTCAAAAATTCATAGAGTACTCCAACTTATATTTGCATTTCAAAGAATTAAACTCTTTAGAAACAAATAGTACTACAGGAAGGAAGGCTATATGCAATCAGTTTTGAACTTTTAAATCTTGTCATTCAATCTTAGTCTGTCAAGGGACAGCCTTAAACCAGAGTCTCTTCACTTACTCAGAGGAAAACAGTAACAAAAATGTTCTTGAAATAGACACAGTCAGGCATGTTAGCTGTGGTTTGTAGAGGTCAGAAAGCCTTCAGGGTCAGTTCACAAATCAACCTTTGCATTTCTAAGCATTGTGTTCTGATGTCATATCCTGGAGTGCTACATGCTGGAGCAGGTGGACTGAAGCCCATGAAGCTGTATACTAGTTTGGAGTCCAGAATTTTCATTTTTCTCTGCACATAAGTCATGTCATTAGGTGTTCAATTTCCTGATCTAAACACGGGACTGAGATGCACTTGAACTTAGACCCAGCATCTCTGAATATGATTTGGCATCCACCTATAGCCTCACATACAGTTAGTTGTACACTTGTTCTTGATATAGTCACCTGTAAGGTACAGAACGTGCTGTCTTTGTATTGTGGGCACAACGGGAGCTTTTCTCATGCTATTTTTTGACCCTTCTCCTCCATGCTGGGTAAAATGAAGTGCTTCACTAGCCTCAAGCAATTATGATCTGTGTTGGACGGATGAAAAGAGAATATAAGTCTTTGTAACAGTTCATGAAATTGAATCAAGGAAAATGGCCCAAAAGGAAAGCATGTGGCTAGAGAGGTGCATCCAGAGCTATTAGACAGATTTCTCATTGACTTAAGAATTATTACATGCACATATGAACACTGGAGATGTGAAAAAGACTTTTCATACAGTCTTTCAATAGCTTAGAAAAGTGACTCACTCCACTTATTTTGCTCAATGTAGTAGGAGTAATGTATGTTCTAAATACAAATTTAGTTTGTGTTTCCTCGTTAAGTACCAAGGGCAAGGGAGTATAGGATTCCACATTTTGTAGATGTGGAGGGGTAGAAAATCAGTGTTGGCCAAATGCAAAACAATTACAATCTGACAAAAGAGTGTTGTGCTGAGGCTGCAAGAATATGTTGAAGACAGAACAGAATAAGTATAATTGTGACAGCATTCTTTTCAAATCCATTTCCCAAGAGTTTGTGGTGTTTGACTAGTTGCTTCACTTAGGATGCATTTCCTGATCCTGCAAAGGCTGGTTAGTGAAGTAGAGCCAACAAAGTGAGTGCCTTGGAAGGTAGAGTGAATGATCTTCACCAGTCTTCTAGCTACCTCAGTCATGGTTCTGAAAAAAAAACCCAGCGCAGATGGGTTGAAGCCTTAAAGGGAGACTGAAAAGGAAGAGAGACAAAGCAATGAGGCTATTTATGGTCCTCTGAGAAATAGAGTCTCCTTTAGTCTCCTGCCCCTTCTCCAGTATTATTAGGCAATGACTTCTCTTTCTCAGGTATGAGATTTTATTCAAACAATGTGTGGGAACAGAGGACGTCTTCTTTGGGATGAGCAGGAAAGACCCCTCCACAGCCTGCTGTGAAGATATAGTGGTGAGCTGAACCTGTATCTCCCATCCCTTCTTTGTGCTCTTTCTCTGCCCTTTTCAATCTTGCCACCTTCTTGAGGGACAGAATGTAAACACCAAGCTGTATTGCTGCCTCTGTCCTCCTGTAGGATTTTCTTGTAGTTATTCAAGCATTTGTAGGTGGTATTTACACTTGCTCAGCAGAGGAACTCAGGTATATCTCCTCAAGGACCTAGAGTACTCGAAAGAATCTGTGCAAATGCCTATGCTACATACAGACTTGGGGGAAATAAAAAGTAGCTCTAAGCTGAAGTTTCAACCTGGGCATAATTTTGGAAGGGAGAGGAGCTAAGAAGGAGATGGTTTTCATCTGCCTGCATTTATTGCAAGGTATGCGAGTTAGGAGAATGCTTACAATACTGACAGTCTATAAAGTTACAGGTATCAGATCCTGTCCCATTATTATATGATCAAAGACCTCCCTGCTTTCTTAGCTTCAGGACAGGTAGAACTGCTTTGCATTTTTTCTAGTAGAAGCAAGCTGTCCTTGGAATACACAAAGCCAGGGGGTTTTGCTGGATGTAGAATTCTTGTCAAGTGCATTATCAGCTCAGGATTTTGAAGAAAATGGGATATCAATATGCATCACTAAGCTATCGAAAGCAATGATTATCACTGTCGTATTTTCTCCGATACAAATTACCTACTCAGAATGTTGCTCTTTGACACTGGCATCAAAATATTCATAAAGATGAGATCTTTAATGGATTGTAGGGCTACATATATAATCACAGCTTTACCTTTACCCATCATTTCAGATTAAAATCAAGCTTCCAGAGGCAAAGTACTCAGACATCACATTAGATATCCAGGACAAGGTTCTTGATCTTCGAACTCCCAAAAAGTAAGTGAAACACAATTGATAGAAGTACAGTTAATATCTTGTTTGAAAGGAGGTTTAACCAAGCCTTCAACTGAATGCTGTGTGGAAGGCAATGCTAGAGATGAAGATTGGATTATTAATTGCACATGAGAAACATAGACAAAAACAACCATAGTCCATCTGTAGGTGTAGAGTGTGCTGGCTTTGAATCTGTGATACTGTTCTAGCAAAAATAGCTTTGAGGCAAATTTTGGCTACCTAAAAAGCAAGGCTTCAAGGACCCAAAAAGTCTGGCAAAAAACTGCCCGCAGTCTTGGAGTTTGCTTTCTAAATACTAATTTGTACAAATATATAACTGAAGATGGTCAAAAATGTGCAGATACATTTTCAGGAGTTGAAAGACAAATTGTGGACATATATAGGCATGGATGCGGAGATGGAAATGTTACAAGGTTTCCCTAAAAATATTTCCTTTGAGTTCTTTTTTTATAGGGCTATTTCAAACCTACAAAGATAATCAACTGACTGATATACTCTCAGACTTCTCAGTCTTCCTCAATATTTCCCTCAGTGTGTGATTGCTTTACCTGAGATTTCCAGATAATTCCCATGTCTGTTTTGCTTTAAGTCCTTATTCACAGTAGAGTATTTTCATAAGAAAGCTTAATCCTCTCTGGGCTGACTTGCTTCACTGAACGGGATGCATGATGATCTATATGTGAATAGCTTCCTGCAAATAAATTCAAGGTGCAGACCATGGATCAAGGCCCAGATAAATTCTGTCCCTAGTGAACTAAAAATAGAAAAGCCACCTTTCTCACAGACAAAATCAGGCTGAGTCAGTTACTCCCTGCTTGTTTTTAGCCCAAAGATGCAACAGGAGTGGAGGAATGTTTGGAAGTGCTAGCTCTGAAACTGGAAAATCAGGAGAAATAATTGTTCGGCTAATGATTTGCAGAACCTATAGGTAGTAAAAGAAGCACTTGATGAAATACTGGAAACCTCAGCATCCTTTTTCTGTTGCAATTCTATCTTTTTGGTGACTCAGATCTGCCATTATCATCGTAGTATCCAGCTGTCTCTAGTCACAAGCCTAGCAAATAAAAAGTTTGCTGTAAACCTAATGGTTGCTTGGGTACAGCCTGAGCCATTGCTGCGTTCACAAATACAAGTGCAAGTCTTCCTTCTCAGTATGAAAGAAACAAACAAGATTTCAAGTTCTATATACTGAAAACCACTGTATCTCACAGATGTATAGGAGGTCTCAAATAAAATATTTCCAATTCTTTAGTCCTGGGGCTGATTCTAAGCCAACCTGATTTTAAGGGCTTCTAAATTATAGCAAATGACTGCCTTCAGTAGGTGTGGTGCAAAGGTGTTTTGACTATACCTCTTTCAGCCATGGCTCCTACAAGACAGCTGGAAAGGTCTGAAAAAGAATCAATATTACTTAAACCCCAATTTAAAGTAACCCACATCTGTGCTACCTTGTTGTCTTGTTGAGCTTTATAGAGTTTGGCCAGGCAGATCTCTTGGTTCTAAAGTGTCCTTGATTCTGTTAGCACTGTGAATAGAGGTCCAAGAGTAGCCCATAATTTATATTGTTAATATATAAGCCTGGGATAAGAGGGGAAAGAGTCCAGACTCTGCATGAGCAAGTAAGTTTGAACTGTCTTCAGTGAGAAGAGTTGAGTGGGTCCAGGCTAAGACATCCTTGTGAGGAGATAAACCAGAAGGCTTGTCAGCCATTCCAGGAAAAACTGTATGTCTAACATAGTTGAGGGACTGTGGAATAGTTCTTGAGTCCAAGATCCAGCCTTTCTTTTGTGTATTACGTGCCTGAGCCACAGGTAGGGGATCACTGAATCAGTCTTTAGTGTAAGTTTAAATCCCAGCAACTTCATAACTGTGAGTCCATTCTCATACCTGAACTGTGCTTTGCAGTGTAGACATTATTTTCTGTGAAACTGCCCCACTTAATTCTTTTCACTAGAGAATACAGACTCCCGAAGACATGTTCAGGCTTTAGGCATTATTCGGATTTTTACCACCAGGAGAGCATTATCAATGCAGCTTCTCCTTCCTCTGCATGTAAAATGTAGCACTGTGCAAAAGCAAGAACAGTGGATAGAGCCCACAATCCATCATTGGAAACTGTTGTCATAGCCACAGCCAAAATAAAAGAATAGTGTTGGAAATATTTCAGGGCCTGTATAGCTGTGCACCAGGTATTGCGGGAACCCCACAACCTGTCATGAGAATGAGATATTCTGAAAGAACATGCTTTGGTATACTGATTGGCAAATTGCAAGAATAACTTGCAGTGCCTTCTCAGTTGCTCACCCGATCTGAAACACTGAAATTCACTGTGTCCTCTTTTACAGGAAGCTGCTGCTGCACCTCCCCTACCATGTAGACAGCAAGAATGGTAAAGCTCGTTTTCTCTCTGAAGAGGAGACCTTGGAAGTCACCTTGAGAGTATCAAGGAAGTTTGATTTCATAAATTTTGTCTGATGGATAGAGGAATAAAGAAAGTTTGCAAAAAATAATCTCTGAGTTTGAAGTCTTCTTGAAACCTAAATGGTCATAAAATAGTAGATTGTTTCCCTTGAACAGTCCGGGGGAATATCCCTGGAGAAATTGAATCAGCCAGGAGGAACAAACTACCCATAGGTTCTGCAAAGTGAGACTGCTCAGCTCTCGCGCTGCTCTGGTTAATGTTCTGCTTCCTTCAGTCTAATCCAGGCTCTGTGAATTAGAAAAGAGGAATTTACACTTCTGTAAACCAGGGAAAGTTTTTTTGTGGTTATGGCTGGTGAGTACCACAAGGAGGTTCTGGCCAGTAAGTCTGATGCTGAGTTGCTGTTGCAAGACTTGTAAGTGGTAAAATTCTTGTTTGGCTTCCAGTGCTGGGACTGGGTCCAGTTCAGAAGCTCCTCTTAACTACTTCTTGATGAGAAGCTCAAAGCTCTTCAGGGATCCATATCCACATCTGAGGCTCCTTTACACTGGCAGAACAAAGTAACCAACTATAGTTGTACTGTTGAACAACTCGGATCTTTTGAACAATTTTTGACAATATATGGTTCAGTGTCATCTGTTCACCTGCTGTCCCTCCAGCTATTTTTCAATCTTCCTTGATTATTAAAAGAATGTGTTCTAATGAACAGTTCCAGTTACCTTTCACTCTGCCTTCTCTATATTATGTCCCAAGAGACTTTCTAAAAGTGAAATAAGAGGAACTTTGTATAATAAAGCATCATTTAAAGGGCTGAAATGTGGCAAAAGGTTTTCTTTGGCCTTCAGGTCCGATATAGAGCTACAGAGGTGGGTAACCAAGATGTTTCTCTTACTAGCTGCTGGGCAGATATATTCATTTAACAGTGTTAATCATGAAGGAAACAAAGGTATTTGCTCAGTGATCAAACCGGAGAGGAGAAACAGAGCTTTGCATGTTGATGGACGTTAGCCAAAACCTTGTAAGCACTTTAAAAACAAAATGGCTTGGGTCCTGCGTTCTTCTGGTGTAGAAGTAGAGGAAAATAATTGACCATCTAGGTTGCAGACAGTATCAGCACAGCTGAATTTGTGTCAAGCTGTAATGAGAAGATGAATTCTCCATGATGGATTGAAGATATTGACAATGAGTTTCCAGGTGTATTTTTTTGTTTTGTGAGGAAATTTCAGAATTCACAGTATGTTTGTAATAGACTGCGTTATAATGCTAGGACAAATTAAACTGGTGTCTGGACTTTTCAACTACTTCCCTTAAAAGCAGACCCGTTTCTTGGGTCAGAATAATACTACCCTACCTCTGCTTTAGTGTTAATGCACTGGAAAGCAGATACCTCAGATATGATTCATCACAAGCTATTGAATATGTTGATAACATGAAGGGACTGCTCCAATTTGTATTTGCTTAAGTTTCTATAAATTGCATTGGAATGTCTCTTATTCCTATTCTGCAAAGCTGTGGTGGAGGGGAACAATGCAGATGTATGAAAAGGCTGAGATCATTCCTCCTGACTCAGTTTGTACTGCCTGTGTTTGCCAAGAAGTTACAGTAAGGCTCTTTCTTGGGAAAGGTTGTATTTGTGGTCCCTAGGCAATATGCTGCTTCATTTTTGCATTTCTTATACAGATTACAAGAAAAGTAGAAAATTGACCTGTATTTATACAAATGTGAAAATAACATTTGCCCAAACTCATTCAGTAAATCCGTGGCAAAGCAGAGTATAACTGTTGCTCTGAGCCCTATTTCAGTGCTCTATCCACAAGGTAATGTTGCCTTTATAGTTGGCAGTAGGAATTTACTAAGCTTTAAATCATCAAGTTCTGCTTAATTTAATGTCAGTGTTTGATATGGAAAACAACGAGTTTTGCTCATTGTGCCTTTCTCTGGTGTTTTAGTTTCCTATAGAAATGAGCATATGCCACACGTCTTATTTTCTCCCCAAATATATTTTAACCTGGGGTATTTTATCTGCATTCAAGAGACAAAAATCTGAGGTAAGTATGTTTTATAAGAAAGTTAGCTACTGAATAGAAAAAGGAAATACAAATTAGTACTGCCTAAGGGGGAAATTCTAGTGTGACTCCCTGTGCCTGCTGGCCAGTCACTCTGTACATCCATACTCCAGGCTACAGTAGGTCATCCACACCACTCCCGGAGGGGAAGCTGGCAAGTTGGTGACGTAGCAGGATAGGGAAGGTATTGCAAAGAAAGGGAGATACGCTGGCAGGGGGAAGGTGAAATCACAGTGTTAGGGTACAAGAACACAGGGGACAAACTCGTAGGAAGCCAGGCTCCATATTTTCCACTGCTCAAAAGCTCTACTGCTGTTTTCAGTAGAGTAGAAACATTGGTCCGGTGGCAGGCAACTTGCTGTTCTGATCAGGTCCATCGCCTGAATGCACCATCATTACCAGGAGATCCTCTCACATTCTTACTTTCTTCCTATAAAGGAGACAGAGACTACCCTAGGCAAAAGGTTGTGGGTTTTTTTTCCATAGATCATCTGTTCTGGGTTGAGTGAGTGGTAGAGTTTTTTGGTGGCAGGGGAGGGGGCTATCAGGGCGTCCCCCTGTGAGAAGCTTCTCAAAGCTCCCCCAGCTCCACATCAGCTCCACTTCTGTTTGGGAAATTGAGCCAATCAACTGCGCCTCTGTGATAACGTATTTAAGAAGGGACGTGGTGACGGGCAGTGGGACTTGTGAGGAGGAGTTGCTGCAGCTGCATGAACACCAAGGTCAGTGGAGGAACAGAGGAAGAAAGGATGGGGGAGGTGTGCTGGAGCAGAGACCCCCCTGTACCCTGTGGTGAGACGGCAGGGTGGCCCCCCCTGCCACCCCTGAAGATCTACGGTGGAGCAGACATTGATTTATGGCCTGTTGCTCCTGCTCAGCTGATCAAGGTTCTGTGCCCGAAGAAGGCCGGGGTCTCAGGGGAAAAGGTAGCCCCGCTGCTGTAATTCAGTGCTGGGAGGATTGCAACATGCGGGGGAGTCCCACGCCGGAGCAGCTCGGGAAGGGCTGCAGCTGTGGGAGAGAATCCAGTCGGAGGAAGTTAGTGACCCATGACGGAGCGGTGTGGGGAACACTGCGGCCCATGGGAGGAATTCATGTTGGAGAAAGTTTGTGGAGGACTGTCTCCTGTGAGAGGGGGACCACGATGGAGCAGGAGGAACAAGTTCCAGACACTCCCCTCACCGAAGATAGGGGAAGTGACAGCGCTGACTGCACCCCCCATTCCCTGCCCCTGCGCCACTGGGGGAGGAGGTAGAGATATCGGGAGCAGAGCTGAGCCCGGGAAGAAGGGAGGGGTGGGGGGAAGGTGTTCTCAAGATGTGGCAATGCTTCTCACTGTCCTACTCTGTTATGTGTTGTTAGTGTCTGTAATAAATGTATGGGTTTTTTTCTTCCCCTAACGAGTCTGCCTTTTGCTCGTGATCATAAAGGGGAATTTTTCCCCATCCCAGACCTATCTCGAACCCCAAGCCTGGCTCTCTGTCCCTTCTCATTGCCGGAGGGGAAGGGAGAGAGAGCTGCTGCATTGTGGTTGGCTGCCGACCAGGCCCAAACCACGACATCATCTCAAGAGAAAACTGGTCAAAAGGACATGCAGGCTACCAAGCTTCCCCGAAATCTGTGGGCTACTGCTGGCTACAGGAGAGTTAACTTCTTTGCAAGCACTTGAAGGCAGTTTTGCTTTGCTGAACTAGCACTGGCAGAAAACCTTTTGAAGGGGATACAAAACCCCCTTTGCCTCTGAACGTAAAAGCTGTTGCCTAAGTACCACTCCAACACCTGCAGGCATCTTAATTAATCAGAATTATGAGCCCAGTTAAACAATCCAGCCATTAAGCCGCAGCCATTAAACATCATCAAGCTTTATTTGGTTCCCTAAGAAACATCTTGATTAAACATATTGCAGTTAAGTAGAGGGTACTGTAGCTGTGGAAATGAGATAGAGGCTGTTTACAGTAGTATCCCAATAAACTGCAGGTTGTCATCTTGACTTGTTGAAGCCTTCTGTCTTCCAGCTGTGGTGGCAGAGCCACCTCTCCCATTTTGACTTGTTCCTGTCTTCTATCAGAACTATGGTGTTGTGCTAAAGTACACAACCCAGCTTGCTCTGTGTTTCACCCCTCTTCATATTCCCTTTTGTCCACATACCAATATTCTAAGGCAAAGATACTTTCCCTCATTCTACAACCTGAGAAATGAGAAGGGAAAAAAAAAAAAAAGGAGAAAACCCAGAAGAATTGCTCCATATAAACAGCTGAGACAGAGCAAGAACTTAAATTCAGATTTTCCCCTTAAACCTGCAGTCTAGCTTCTGGGCTGCTCTCATTTCCATCTTCTTCCAGGTCTGTTGTTATCATCATATACACCTTGTATTTATTTTAAAAGGAAGACTGCTTCATTTTTCTGCTGTTCAGTTTAAACTTTGTATTCAAAATTTCTATGTACTTTTTTCATTGTGTGAAACACTGATATATTGGTATCTGCTTCCCTCCAGATAAAGTTTATCTAAAATAACTAAGCTGTATCTATGTGTATGGAAAGATCTCTCCCCTACTGCCTACAAAGTAAGGAGGCAAGACTGGTATCGCTTCTGTCTTTCTCATCTAACCTTGGGCCCTGACACTCGGTGCATGAGACTGGGCTCCTGTGGGCAAAACAGAGCTCTGCAGCATCACTTGCAGGCTGCGGTGCACAGTGGCACTTGGAGGAGTGCAAATACAAAAAGGAAACTCCCAGTGAAGTAACCTCTGTCTCCAAGGCCTCCCAGATTTTCTCATTGAGGTAGCAGGTGACTGCTTTTAGCAGTATCTCCTCTGCATATTTGGCAGCGTGGACTGCTAGATATTCGGCAAAACAGACCGACGGGCAGGAGCACGCACCAGTGCTGAGCCATGCAGGCAGTGCTTTGAATATGTCCAGCAGATTCACTGCACACTCACATATCCATCGCTGGTGCACCTCCTCATGCTGGAGCAGGTGCCTTTGAATGTGCTGCTGTTGGCAGACCTTTACCCTCTTC